GCAGAATCAGAATATCGAGCAATGGCGACAGCAACTTGTGAGCTAGTTTGGATCAAACAGTTGCTGGGAGAACTAAAATTTGGCAAAATTGATCAGATGGAACTTGTGTGTGATAATCAAGCGGCTCTTCATATCGCATCAAATCCAGTGTTTCATGAAAGGACTAAGCACATTGAGATTGACTGTCACTTTGTCAGAGAAAAGATACTCTCGGGAGATATTGTTACGAAATTTGTGAAGTCAAATGATCAGCTTGCAGATATCTTCACCAAGTCCCTCACATGTCCTCGTATTAATTACATCTGTAACAAGCTAGGTACATATGATTTGTATGCACCAGCTTGAGGGGGAGTGTTAGAATAGAAATAAGTATTTCCTACTTAGAATAGGAATAGGAATAGGAATAAGAATAGGAATCCTAGTTGGAAAAGGATTCCAATGTAGTGTCTATAAATAGGGTCTCAATGTAACTATTTACATACACAATTCAATATTATTTATTTCTCACAGATACTTTTCTCTGTTAATGAACTGCTTCATGTATGAGTGGCTCACATCCTGGTCGACAACATGAGCCTCCTTCAAAACTCAGGCATCAAGGAGAAAAGATATGCCTTAAAAATGAATTTTCCCACTGGAATATCAGTTCTTGGAGTAAGATGAAAATGTTTGTTTCAATAACTAATAGTACAATGAAAGAAATTAATATTCAGTTCCAAATGGGTTTTGTCTGTCTTTTATTTTTTTTCTATAGATTTCTGTTATATGTATATGAAAACAGCTTGTACATGTATATGAACCAACAACTATATATGCCTTTTCTTTTAGTTGTGTTTTCATAGTCTAGTGTGGAGCATGAACGGGCGCTGGGCATGATATTAAAAAGAATGACATTCTAATGTATTCCATCCTTTTTGCTCTTCCCCCAATGGTGAAGAGATCAACTCAGATATATATCTTTCCCTGGCTTTTCTGTCTCTTCAATATCTGCATGGTTTTCGCATGAATATTTGAAAGAATGCTTTCATGCTTATGGAATTGCCACCTCTCATTATTTATCTTTTCTTTCCCATCGCTTTTCTTATTTCTTCGAGTATGGCACTTGCTTCTTTCTTTATTTTTCTTACATCTCTTCTGCAGGTGGGGTACAACGTTGTAACGCCACGTCAACGGAATGTTGGGAAGGTGATTCTGTGCTTCATTTTTCCCGTATCTGTATTACTCTAAATTTGATTAGCTTACTTTATCTGAAACAAAAATTATTTTTCTGTAGGTTCGTGGCTATACTTTCAATATTAACTCAGGGGCAGTAGAATCTCTGGAGCTTGATTCCTTGGGAATATCCATAATACCATCCACCTTGGTAGGTTAATACGAATGAATTTTCTTTTACTGCAGCTACTTGTTGACCTACTCCTATCTATCATTCTAGTCAGTAGTATGTGTTGCATGCTTGACACTTGAACTTGGTTTATATCAGGTCAGCACCTACGGTTTATTTGTTGAGGATGTGGTCGACGTTTTATCAGATACCATTGTTGTTCATGAAGCTGCAGCCTCACGCCTACAGAGACTTACTAAGGTACTTTGGAGTGTTCACAGTCGATTAGTCAATGGTAGCGGAGTAACTGCTTCCCTTTTGATATTTTTCTTCGAAGTTCTATCTGTGCTGGCCTATGAATTTCTGTACTTCGAGACTTTTGAGTTTACCAAGTTAGATGACGAATTCTTCACCCTACCAAAATACCCTCTTTTCCTTGATTAGGAAAACCGATTCATGTGATTGAGCCACAGTTAGACTTAGTCTGCTTGATGGCAGAAATGATAATAATTCTAACCGTGTCGTAATGACATTGACCAGGGATTATGGGATGCCCAGAAAATGGCTTACTCTGCAGATGAAATGCAAGATTATAGCAACTTAAGAAACACACGTGCTAAGCCGGAGTATAGCAGAAGTCGTAAAAAATCTTCAGGAAAAAAGTTAAGGAAGAAACTGAAAGAACTTGCTGATGATTGGGACCTCCCTATGGATTTCTTTTAACCTGCTACATTTCTCCACAATGTACATCACACCAAAAGGACACTGATTCTCTGTCCTTTCTCTAACTACGTTAACGGTGTAAGACACAATTTACTCGTTTTTGGACGAAGTGCCCATTTGGTACGTATGAGTGTCTGTTTTGGTACGTTGTGTCAAAATAATTGCCCATTTGGCACCAGACTCTTGTAATCTGTAGTGTCTAACACAGTCTCTGAGTTCATGTAGCTAATTGTATGACCAAAATGGCCATCTGTACTCGTTGTTTCTTCTTGAATCTTTATGGATGGCAAATTTGTCACAAAACCATGTAACCCGCTTGACCTGTTCATGTTTTAATGGGTTTTGCTAGAGTGAGAAAAGGAAAAAGGTTTGAATATGCCATCGAACTTTGAGAAAAGGCTCATATATGTCTTTCGTTAAAAGTTTAGCTCATCCATGTCATTTTCATTTGAGAAAAGACTTATTCATGTGATTATTTGTTTACTGAAATACCAAACTTTTAACAGATGACATATGAGTCTTTTGTCAAAGTTTGATGATATATTTGAGCATTTTACCCTTTTTAAAAATGATCAATTAATGACGTGGCTGAATCATAAGTGATCACGTGTAAAAATAGTTTTGCAAAATTGGAACTATTTCAATTCACGAATAATGGCACGGATGAACCTTTTCACAAATGGAAACGACATAAATGAATCAAACTTTTAACGGATAACATAAATGAACAGTTTTTCGAAGTTAGATAACATATTTGAGCTTTTTCCCTATATAATATATGGATCAATTTATTTTGATCCGTTTTACTTCAGTCCAAATCTATCCATTCTAACAATAGCTACCACTCTCCAACTTTACATTTTTCTTTCAAAATTAAGGACATAAATTTCTTGGAATACAAGAATTAATTATACCAACAACAACCAAATAAATAAACTATGCAGAAGAATTTGAATTATATTATAGGACCACTACTCCATGACTTTTTTTTCCTTCCATTTCTCATGATATTTAATTAGTGGGCTCAAAAGTTATTGGAACTTTCTTCTCTTTTGTGGAATATTTTTCTAACGTCTAAAAGGGGTCATTCACTATTCACAACACTTATCCACTCCGGTCCTATGTACTTTAGTTAAATTGACTCTCGATAAAAGAGACAAGTATCTTAAAACGGAAGAAATATATACTTTATATATAATAATTTTCTTTTTCATATATTTACAAAAGATATTATTTATAATATTTTGAGCTTGAACTTAGTAATATTTTAATCTAATAGCATGCTCGAAAAATGCACAGCATTTATGTTGACACCCCATTTATAATCTTTTCTCTATCATAAATTATATATGACTATCATATAAAATGAAACGGAAGAAATATTATGTTAGCTAATTACTTAATTATGTTCTAGTCGATCCAAATCACCATCAAAATTCTCACAATTTAGTGGAGGAAACGTGTATTAAAATTTAAAACCAAAGTACTAAGACAAAGGAAGGTCATTTTTTAAATTATCACTTATCAGGCAAAGACAATTCTTTTACTTTCACAATTCCAATTTAGGTGGTATTTTTTATTTTGATCGATCTAAAAAAGATAATAATATATCTTTTTTTCATATTTAGCAGTAACAATTTAACTTCAAATTTAATATTTTTCTCTTTCATATAGCCACATAAATTTCTATAATTTATTTTAGAATATAAATTTCAAAAGTTCTCATTTTTTAAAATTTATACTCAAACGAATATTTTCACATAAATTGAAACGAAGAGCTTTTTTTTTAAATGTGGTCCCCATTGTCCAAGGATAAGAAAGTGTCACCCTTCCTTCAACTTGTTCTTCACGTCCTCGACTTTAAACCACTAATTAATTATTCTTAAACGTCAATTAAAATGTGATTAGTGTCGCTGACGATATTAGGGTGACAGCATGTGCATACGTCTGCAGCAACGTGTAGTACCTGCTTGACGCTCTCTGTAGCGCGTGTATCTAATCTCTACCCATTTTCCATGCAAAGCCAAAAGTGACTCCACAGTAGTTTTTTTTCTTCGATAGAGGCTAAATTTAAACTATTTGACTCTCGAAATTAGAACGATGTCACATAGATTGGAAAAGAGTTAGTATGTTTATTAAAAATAAAATTTTAAAAAGGTAAAACAATTAAATTGGACAAAAAAAATAGTTCCTCTATCTCAATTTATGTCTCTATCTCAATTTAAGTTTACCTGAGAATTTACTCATGAAATTTTTAATTTTTAAAAAAATGAAATTTATATATTTGTAAACTACGTAAAAAGTACTACAAGTCACAATAATTGACAATTCAAAATATTTAAAAGATATATGAAAAAATTACGATCAAATATAGATTTATTTGAATCTCAAAATTTAAAATATATCATATAAATTGAGACAGAGAGTAGTTAAAGACTAAAACAACATTTAACAATCAAAACAATCTCAATCAGTGCGCGTGGGATTTGTATTTCCACAACCTAAGAACGAATTTTCCTAGCAACTTTCTTTTAAATCTTTTCCCTTTTGCGTTTAAATAAAGCTCTCCCATCTAATACTCAATAGAGTTTTATAAAAAAAATAAAAAAAATAATATGAAGTCGTCTTTGTTAAAAAACAAAACGTCTGATCTAGAGAAAATAATAGTAGAGTTGAATCGTGGCCGGGAATTTACGTGTCGACTAAGAGAGATACTAAAGAAACATGTAGATCATGTAGATGATGAAGATGCATATATGTTGGTTGGAAAAATTATGAGTTCATTTTGTGCGACTCTATCGATATTAAGCTCTAATGAAGACTCATCAAGTAGTAGTTGCAAGATTTCGTCATTGAAAGATCAAAGAGGACGATACAAGAGAAGGTGATTATATTCTACTATATATATTACGATACTGTTTAATTGAACATGAAGTTTTAAAATAAAAATTTAAACATACTCATACCAAAACTATACCTTCTTTTGTTCCAAGATGTCTTTCTTTATTTCGATATCACATAAGATCGAAGAAGTATATATTTATATTTCTATGGCTATAATTAACAACATGAATGAGGAATATATGCATGTTATTAAAAGTAAAATAGGAAGTATATATTATAATTTTTTTTAAAAAAAGTTATTTATATTATTTATAGATATTAATTTGGGGAAAATCTGATTGCAGGAGAACTTTAGAGACAAGCATAAAAGAAACTTCAACTTTGGTGTATGATGGCCATGCTTGGAGAAAATATGGTCAAAAAAAGATCCTTAATGACAAATATCCAAGGTTTGACCTCACAAAATATATATATATATATATATATATATATATATATATTATATTTAATATTTTTTTCTTTAGTGCCGTATTGACAATTAGTTGATTTTTTTTCTTCAGATTGATCACTCAGTGGTTGAAAGTTTCAGTGAAGGTGGAAAGACATGCATTACATCAAGAGTTTATCCAACATTAGCCATCTATGGAGACACACATTTGTTTGCTTTCAACAATGGTACCGAGACAGTCAAAATTGAGGCTCTTAATGCCTGGAACATGGCTAAATCCGAGAGATAGATTTAAAACATAAGTGCTTTGAATTTTTCTTTCTTTTTCTGTGTTGGCCCTTTTTTGGGATGAGAACTTGTACAAATTTGCTATTTCTAGCAAAGCATGAATGAAATATTCTTCTTTTCTATTAAATTGAATTGATGACGCTTAATATAGAATGCAATTATCTTTCTATTGAGTTCTTATTTTATATCAAAATACTCAAATGTTTACTTATTCCTTGCATATATATATGAACTATAGACAAATAAAAGACTTATATACGTGTAACTCAATGTAATGAAGTCGAAAATTTCTCCTTGAAAACTTTCATGGATTGATGTCTAGACTAAAGTAGCAACTACCTTTAGATAAGAAATTTTTTTCGGTCTTCAACCTTTTCCTATGGTATGCAACTTAAAGTGTCATGTGAAATTTATCCACACTATAATAATAAAAATAATAACAATTCCTATGATAAACAATAACTAAACTAAACTAGACAAAAGTTTTGTTAGAGAAAAAAATTAAGATCGAAAGGAAAAGGAATTATACATAAATGTAGCCAAAATTATTCTCATTCCAAAGTACATAACATTATACAAAATATTTACACAAATTCCATTAACCACCCCCACAATCAACAATCTACACGAAAAAATACATATTAAAGTTTACACAAGGTACGTCATGAAAAAGGATTGTACTTCAAGGAATGTAATGTCAACAACTTATTCTACTACAGTAACAATAGCTGCTTTCACTATTCGAATCTATCACTTATAAATTATTTTGAGACAACTTTTATACCGTTGATCCAATAAGACTCCCCTCCGAAAAAATTAAAGCCCAATATGTATGTTTAAAATTCAAAAGACAAATCAACAGTTTCCACCATCATACCCAAAAAATGGTGATGATTATTATAATTATTATTGGTAGAATTAAAGTTAAGTAAGACTGAATTAGAATCTTCATGATCATTTGGAGAATCACATATCATTTGAGAAACTTTAGGACAAGTTTTGCAAGTGTGATGACCATAATAAGTGATCCTAAATAGTGGTGGATTTTCTTGAATTCTTTGCACCTGTTTGTTTGCTTGACAACCTTGATCAAATTTATGAGTGCACCTAAAATAATTCCTGCATTTTTTATTAATATGTATATTTATATGTCAAAATCACTAATTAGCAACAAAAAAAAATTAAACTATATACAAATGCATAGTACAATGACAACGATGATAATAATATATTTAATGTAATTTCACGTATATGTAGCGTCTAGAATTGAATATGCACATCTTACCCCTATCTTGGAGAAGTAGAGTAAAAACTTCTTTCGAAAGGTTCATTTATGTCATTTGTTAAAAGTTTGGTTCATCTATGTCATTTCAGTTAACAAATAATGGAATGAATGAACATTTTCTCAAACAAAAATGACACAGATGAATCAAACCTTTAATAGATGACATTATCTTTTCTTAAAGTTCGATCATTTAAATCTTTTTTCATAATTAATAAAGATTCTTAATCATATGCACTGGTTATAAAAAAAATTATACCATCTAAGTTATCTTTACTTATATATGTTGCAGGTTATTTTATAATTACATATTCCACATCATAAGAAAACTTAATTACCTATAAATATCATTAGAGTGATCTAATAGTATTAAATATAATATATATATATATATATATATATATATATATATATATATATATATATATATATATATATATATATATATATATATATATATATATATATATATATATATATATATATATATATATATATATATATATATATATATATATATATATATATATATATATATATATATATATATATATATATATATATATATATATATATATATATATATATATATATATATATATATATATATATATATATATATATATATATATATATATATATATATATATATATATATATATATATATATATATATATATATATATATATATATATATATATATATATATATATATATATATATATATATATATATATATATATATATATATATATATATATATATATATATATATATATATATATATATATATATATATATATATATATATATATATATATATATATATATATATATATATATATATATATATATATATATATATATATATATATATATATATATATATATATATATATATATATATATATATATATATATATATATATATATATATATATATATATATATATATATATATATATATATATATATATATATATATATATATATATATATATATATATATATATATATATATATATATATATATATATATATATATATATATATATATATATATATATATATATATATATATATATATATATATATATATATATATATATATATATATATATATATATATATATATATATATATATATATATATATATATATATATATATATATATATATATATATATATATATATATATATATATATATATATATATATATATATATATATTATATTTAATACTATTAGATCACTCTAATGATATTTATAGGTAATTAAGTTTTCTTATGATGTGGAATATGTAATTATAAAATAACCTGCAACATATATAAGTAAAGATAACTTAGATGGTATAATTTTTTTTATAACCAGTGCATATGATTAAGAATCTTTATTAATTATGAAAAAAGATTTAAATGATCGAACTTTAAGAAAAGATAATGTCATCTATTAAAGGTTTGATTCATCTGTGTCATTTTTGTTTGAGAAAATGTTCATTCATTCCATTATTTGTTAACTGAAATGACATAGATGAACCAAACTTTTAACAAATGACATAAATGAACCTTTCGAAAGAAGTTTTTACTCTACTTCTCCAAGATAGGGGTAAGATGTGCATATTCAATTCTAGACGCTACATATACGTGAAATTACATTAAATATATTATTATCATCGTTGTCATTGTACTATGCATTTGTATATAGTTTAATTTTTTTTTGTTGCTAATTAGTGATTTTGACATATAAATATACATATTAATAAAAAATGCAGGAATTATTTTAGGTGCACTCATAAATTTGATCAAGGTTGTCAAGCAAACAAACAGGTGCAAAGAATTCAAGAAAATCCACCACTATTTAGGATCACTTATTATGGTCATCACACTTGCAAAACTTGTCCTAAAGTTTCTCAAATGATATGTGATTCTCCAAATGATCATGAAGATTCTAATTCAGTCTTACTTAACTTTAATTCTACCAATAATAATTATAATAATCATCACCATTTTTTGGGTATGATGGTGGAAACTGTTGATTTGTCTTTTGAATTTTAAACATACATATTGGGCTTTAATTTTTTCGGAGGGGAGTCTTATTGGATCAACGGTATAAAAGTTGTCTCAAAATAATTTATAAGTGATAGATTCGAATAGTGAAAGCAGCTATTGTTACTGTAGTAGAATAAGTTGTTGACATTACATTCCTTGAAGTACAATCCTTTTTCATGACGTACCTTGTGTAAACTTTAATATGTATTTTTTCGTGTAGATTGTTGATTGTGGGGGTGGTTAATGGAATTTGTGTAAATATTTTGTATAATGTTATGTACTTTGGAATGAGAATAATTTTGGCTACATTTATGTATAATTCCTTTTCCTTTCGATCTTAATTTTTTTCTCTAACAAAACTTTTGTCTAGTTTAGTTTAGTTATTGTTTATCATAGGAATTGTTATTATTTTTATTATTATAGTGTGGATAAATTTCACATGACACTTTAAGTTGCATACCATAGGAAAAGGTTGAAGACCGAAAAAAATTTCTTATCTAAAGGTAGTTGCTACTTTAGTCTAGACATCAATCCATGAAAGTTTTCAAGGAGAAATTTTCGACTTCATTACATTGAGTTACACGTATATAAGTCTTTTATTTGTCTATAGTTCATATATATATGCAAGGAATAAGTAAACATTTGAGTATTTTGATATAAAATAAGAACTCAATAGAAAGATAATTGCATTCTATATTAAGCGTCATCAATTCAATTTAATAGAAAAGAAGAATATTTCATTCATGCTTTGCTAGAAATAGCAAATTTGTACAAGTTCTCATCCCAAAAAAGGGCCAACACAGAAAAAGAAAGAAAAATTCAAAGCACTTATGTTTTAAATCTATCTCTCGGATTTAGCCATGTTCCAGGCATTAAGAGCCTCAATTTTGACTGTCTCGGTACCATTGTTGAAAGCAAACAAATGTGTGTCTCCATAGATGGCTAATGTTGGATAAACTCTTGATGTAATGCATGTCTTTCCACCTTCACTGAAACTTTCAACCACTGAGTGATCAATCTGAAGAAAAAAAATCAACTAATTGTCAATACGGCACTAAAGAAAAATGAGTTTCTAGTGCATTTGATATGAAAAAAGTACCAAAGAAAGCTTACCAAACTTCGTAACGACAATCTTTTATCGGTTAGATTTGTATCAACATATCCAGCAAAAGATGGTTTATACATCTTTTTATGATTTCTAACGCTTGACCTATCAAATTAAAATAAAATAAAATGGCAAGGTTATCCAAATGCAAAAGTATAAAGATAATAATACTTTTCAAGTTCATAATTCTTTGATATCAAGAATTCAATGGCCCAACTAACTTAAATCCACATCTTATAAGATTAGTTAAACAGGCAAAGCATTCTCTATGAGTATTTTTACATTCCCAAACTTTAAATCTGAGATCTCTGATTTAGGGGGAGGGATCTCATCATAATACTTGCTGATAAAAAAAAGTGATCAAAAGACAAATCTTGAGGCATCAGAACACATGAGAACCTTGTATTTATTTTGAGTCTTAAACACTCTGAAGAATACAGGTGTATACTCTTCCAGATTTTCAGAAGACAATGTTAGAAGTTCAAATGGACCAAGTCCACCTTGAACTGTCGAACCCCTGATGGCACATACATCTTGGGCATAAAGATCAACCCAACTAGGATCAAATTCTTCTGCATTTTCCAAACTTGAAAAGGTAAATGTAACTTCAACATCAACATGTCATCATATTAACACTCACAAATTAACCTATATTTATCTTGTCATAATAATTTTATACAAAAAAAAAAAACATTTCAAATCATAATACATCTTACATTATTACCCCATAAAAGGTCCGAGATGCATAAAAATAGATACTGAGTGAGCCCAAACAATATTACCCCATACTGATCCATTTGTATTGTACTGGTAAAATAGATGATAGATTCCATTGTAATACATTAGACCTATTAAAAAAAAGCAATAAACAAACTAATATAAATGAATTGAGATTTTAGCTAAAGTTTAGTGAAAACTATTAAATATAAAACTCGATCTTACCAGTGGGATCTAATGTTGTTGTTCGGACCATCCGGCCAAGACCACCCATAAAATGGAATTAAAATAGAAATGATTAGTAAAGGCATTTCAAAGTAATTGAAAAATATATATAAGAAAATAAATAGAATATTAAATAAGGATACAAATTAAATATTGAATAGAAAATTTAGATCAATTACTAACTAATCAAAAAGAGTAGTAAGTTGCACATGTATTATGTTCATGATTATTTAAGAGGAGATAAAAACTTATTTGCATCAGTTATATCAAATTATATTATTTTTTTATCATAATTAAGTGATAAAATAAAATAAATATTATTTAACTATATTTTTTGTGATAATCATGATTTTACGAATATAATATATAAATGAAGATAATTCATAAAGCAAGATACATTTAGAAGTTCTAATCGCAATATGAATTTTCTTTATTGTCTTCCTCTTAACCACTTTCCTCTGATGATTTGTAGCTAACTTTTTATTGTGAGAAATCTCGTAAATTCAAATATTATTTAAGTTCGAATCACTTCACTTGTATCAAGTGCAATATACGTTGAGTATTCGTCATGTAGCACACTGATTTCATGTATAATAGTATAAAAAATTCTTTTCATTCAATGTCATATGTCAATAATAAATTGATATAGTTTGACAAACAAATGTAGGTTCTTAGTTTAGCTGTAATAATATTTCCACTGAACAGAACAAGGTGTTCTCTTCTCATTCTTTTACATAGAATTATTATTTCTTTTAAATATATAAAAAGACGATTGAGCATTCCATGCATATAATTTTGAACAAAATTATTGTTAAAATATAGGTAAAAGTTTGGGAGAGGACTAAAAGTTTACCAATATTAGAAATATAAGGGACTATTAGTGCTTCATGTGAAAATTCAAGAATGACTTTGAGTTTTAACCCAAAAATAGAGGACTATTTTGAGTCTTTTTCTCGATGATTCTTCTACTATTTAGCTTGTACTCCCTGGTAATTGAAATAAAGGGCTATAGAAAAATAGATTAACATATTGTAGTTAAATTAAGAAATGGACGAATATCAACAGTTATATTAAATTTTGGTAATGATGATATATATCTTTATCACAACTCATTCAAAATCAAAATATAAAGATGTCATTAAAATGCTAATTTTCTTCATTAATCTAAAAAGAGAAGACTTCTACTTTTTGGATCCACTAATATCAGGAAAATGCAGAAGATAGTCTAGTTAGAACATCACGAAAAAGCAGTTAATAAGATGCAATTATCATGAATGAAGAGGAAAAAGATTTTGAGTTTTATTACTCAAATTTTTAACTCCATGCCTAGTCAAATAAACTCATATAAATTGAGATGCAGGGACTATCTAATATTTAATAGCATGCGTTAAAAATGAGCAAATAACACAAATCCCACTAGTTTAAGGCTTAATTTCTCTTCCCTTTAATATTTTCGGAATTACCTTCTGTACCACAATTTACTTTGCCAAATACATGTATCTGACACACTCAGATACATGTATCTAAGATATATACAGATCAAATTAGGTGTAATTTATTTTGCACCATATTTAAACGTGTTTCACATGTATCTGGGATACACTAAACCTCTCATTCACCTCTCTCCCTATGTACCTTTATTTCAGAATATTTCTAGTATCAAAGATACATACATATAGTATCAAAAGATATGTGTTGAGTCTCTCACTCGTCTCTCGACCTATGTATATGTATTTTAGAATGTATCTGGTATCAAATAGACATATATTAGACTTGAAACTAAAGAAATGGTGTATTTGACTTGAAATATGATACAAAATTATTAAGGGGAACTTTCGCATATAGCCACTCAAAAATAGCTTAATTACGCTCCATAACTATAGTTTGTTAATTGCGATTCATACCTACATTTTATAGGGAGGATAGTGACGAGCGAGATTGGGAGAGGGAGGAGAGAGGCGAATTGTATATGTATATTTGTCAAATTGTATATGTATATCTGTCAAATAATTGTATATATCTAACTGGTATACATATGTATTTGTATATCTGGCGAGCGAGATTGGGAGAGGGAGGAGAGAGGAAAGCGAGATCGGGAGAGGGAGGAGAGAGGCCAGCGAGAGAGGGTAGAGAGTGGAGAGAGGCAAACTGTATATGTATATCTATCAAATAATTATATATACTGATGTACATATGTATTTGTATATATGACGAGAGAGATTGAGAGAGGTGTGGTATGTGTGATTCATATTTGTATATGTATAAAAGAGGATAAGTGACGTAATTAAAACTAAAATTAAGCTGTAAGCTGTAATTAATTCAAACTATAGCTATATTAGCTAATTAACTAATATATATTTTTAGTGAGATAGTATTTAATTATTTCAAATTATAGAATTGATTAATATTTATGGTAAGAATATTTGTGTAATTATATATAGTTTTTCCTTAAAAATGGCTATTTACCAATTTTATCCAGCTCCAAATTCTCAATAAGGTTTTGGCCACAACACTAATGGGCCGAAAAGGCTCAATTTTCTTTCAAAAATAACCTTTTATTTTTTAATTATATATACGGTATATTTTTATTTTGGCGCCATTTAACAGCTTCTCCAGCAAGTTTATGCCTTCCCTGGACATGATTCAAGGAGAAAGATGAGAACTTCCATGGTTCAAAATCCGGGCGTCAAATCGGTACATTACCTTCTACACTGCCAATATATTTTTAATTTTTTTTTAAAAAAATAATTCGGTGTCGGAATTGATGTTTTATTTCTGAAAATGTTTGTCTAGAGTTGTTGAAACTTGTATAGGTATAAAAATTTGGTGAATTCTAGGATAGTATTTCAAATTAGATATGAAAATGCTTTGCTTTTTTGGGAAATCATTTTCTAGAGTCTGGTTAGGTATACAAGTTTTGGAGCTCAATTGATTCGCTACCTGAAATTTCAGTTGATAAAGGTTCAATTTTTCACCTTGTAATCCCCTCACCATTTCCCCGATGTATAATTTTATTTTATTTTAAAGAAAGGTATATAGGTTTGTGACATCTGATAATAGTACACTGTGTAAAATAAGGCATGAGATAGACTCTGACACATTTTTCGGATATTAGGGATTGATATTGATGTGTAAATATTGTTTGAAAGTAAGTGATATAGAGTCAGAGTTTGGATATATTTCTACCCATGAGTGAACGAAGTCATTTTTCCAGTTTTACTTGGAGATAAGATAGCCAAATATAAGGAATTTTTCTCAATCGGACAAAAAAGAAGAAAAAATGGGTGTGTTTGGTAGGAAGGAAAATGTTTCCCACGGAAAATGAGTTTTTAGAAAATGTTTTCTTGGAAAACAAGTGGGTTTCTTACTTATTTTCTAATGTTTGGTAAGTAAGCAAGAAAATATTATCTCAAGAGCATTTATATGTTATATAGCAAAACACTATGGTGTCGGGATGTGAAGGGGAGTTGGGGTGAGGGGGTGGGGTGGGGGTGATGGTCTACGGGTGAGGGTTGAGGGGGATTGGGTGGGCGGGGATGAGACCATAACTTGGGATGTCACTTATGCAACTTGTTTTCCCTATTCCCATTAGGGAAGTCATTTTTCTCATTTTTAAGGAACTTGTTTTCCTAGAGAAAATATTTTCCAAACATTTTGGCCAGCCGAACATGGGAAAATTGAAAAACATTTTTTGAACAATATTTTCCTCCATACCAAACACACCCTAATCCCTATCTTACTAAGGAAATGCCAGCTTATCTGGACTTTCTGGTTTTCGAGAGCTTGAGTTGGAGCTGCACTCAAGGATGCGGTCTAGTGATCCATGAAGTGCATTGAGAACCATAAGGTTTCAAGTTCAAAGAGATGCAAAAGCACTAGGTGATTTTTTCTCATTTGGCTAAGCTTTGACAGAGTTACTATATCCGGTGAAATTAGTTGAGGTGCACATGAGCTAAGGACGAACACCATGGTTATAAAAACAAAAGGGATTGAATTGGAGCTTCTTTAATTTATGATTTTTTCATTTCTTTAGAATGTTCATGAATCTTAGGTCTATTCCCCTGGCTATGCGCTTAAACAATAATAGACCTATCAGGTTACTGAATATTCGTAATGCAACTCTAACTGTGGCCAACTTTTTTACGATTCATAACAGTGTCTTTCAGCCGTTCAATTAGTTTGTGTACATCAATGTGAAAGATAATTGAGCACATTTCTACAGAGTTTCAAAAATATTGTATTGTTTTCAGGTTGGAAACTTCAGTACTAGATTCTCTTTGCCATCCTTTCTAAAACGTGTTAAGAAGTTGACAGATAGTCAAAAGGATTCCATAAGTAGGACTGGATTTGGAAATTTGCTCCTCATTCAAACTCAAATGCTTTCCAAAAACCTATTAGTTGAATTGATGGAAAGATGGGATTATGAGAAACATGCTTTTGTACTTCCTCCAGGTGAGATAACCATATCTCTCCTGGATGTTGCATTAATTTTGGGATTACGAGTGACAGGAAGTCCTGTTCTTTTACGAGAAGATACACCTTTCTTAGATCTAGAAAGAGAATATAATGTTGCCCTGTGGAATAGAAAAATCACGGTTGCATCATTAGAACAAAGACTTGATTCCCTTGCTGAGACCAACAATGAAGATTTTGTGAGGTCTTTCTTGTTATACATGTTT